GCCAAATGATTTTTGTGGTGTAGAGGCAATGCTCATTGGGATAATGGTAATAGCGATAGAAATTTAAAAAGTATACAGGTAGAATAAATATCGGAACATAAGCACTGCCAAATTCAAGATAAACTTGATGAGAGTAAAGTTAAGGTACGTAAGCCACGACGTCAGAAGATTATAAAAAATTCCCTTTGATGGAACGGTCTAGTCACTATTGAGCGTTAGACACTCATCCAGATGCTGGTTTATGAATTCAAAGGGAAGAAGTTTTGCGCAGACGGGACAGCTAACGTGACTATCTACTTGGACTGAGTTGGATGGCGGCTTTGTCAGGCCATCACCGCTAATAAGGGGAGTAATTCGATGGGATAATTCATAATCAATTGGAGAAACTTTGGTAGAAATCAATGATGATGTCGTTTGGGGGGCGCTCGGAGGATCCTGTTGAGGCAATGCAGAGGTAAGGGGTCCTTTGGAGGGGCACTCCTGAAATACTGGAAAGACGGAGTCGGACTTAAGAGAGATGGATGAATGCACAAGCCGACTGACACCGATAGTAGAGCCACCGAGCCGGTTGTGATGACCGACGAAAGGATCATGTACCTAGATGTAAAAATTCATTATAAATAAATCAAAGCGATTATTATTTTAGGTTATAAAATATAAATTACAAGAAGCAACAAATCTCAAGGCCTTATCGAACCACAATGAATACGCCAAAAGCCCAAATGATAAAACCACGCGGGTTGATATTCAATAGTTATGATCACAGCTTTTATCGCCCTATCAATCATGTAGGTAGCTGTAATATTAACAGTAATATTAAGCAAAACGAATTTGCTTTTTTCTGGCAATTTAAGGATGCTGCCGAGTGGCATTTGTTTTCCGACAATTTATTTGGGTAAATCTACTACAAAATAAACAGACGTCATAAAAATGAAGCGGATTAATTCAAAAAGTAGAACACCTTCAGAAAACTAAAATGGAGAGAGTTCTTAAATCAGTCTTGAAGATGATCATGGTAGTCAATTAAAGGAGCTTAATAAGGGGTATGGGGTTCCACCCCACAATGCATGGAAAAAATAGAAAGCTAGTAAAATGAGCGTGTTAGAGACTACGGCCTCTAGCAATCCAGTAATTCGGATGGCCAGTCCCTCTACCATTTTTAGTCCAATTCTTGAGTATGGAATCCATAAGGCCAAGACGGTGCGGCCTAGGATTTGGTCGCAGTCCCCTTTAATCGTATTGAATTGGTAGAACCTCGCTTCCGCAACTTTGTCGAGACGACATGGAGGCCTTGATGCGTCCTTTGCCATAGAAATA